TTTGCATTAAATGTTATATATCTTATCTTTTACTGTTGTCTTCAGGCCAGGGAAATAATTGAAATATGGAGGATAGTTTTAAAGAGACCTGAGGAGAAAAGATATAAAATGAGAATAGAGCTGCAAGGGAGTGGAGACCAAATCAAACTAGCATACACAAATTGTATATAATCTAGATATGAATTTAATATTAGAAAACACAAGCTATCCAGAAAGAGATACTGCTAAAAATACATTTATAGGCAAATAGATTCATCTGGTTTTGATTAAAAAATAATTGACATTTGGGATGATCCAAAAAACAAATTGATTATAAAGAAACCACAAAAAATAATAATCAAAGTACAATTAAAATCAATAATCAAAATTAAATATATATGCAATAATAACAGAAAATTTCTCATAGAAATATAAACAAGAACTCTTTGATGGTTTAATTTAAAATTTTATTTCTGCAAGGCAAAATGGACAGTTGGCCTTTGTGTTCTTTCCAATCACACGATAATACACATTTGTACAGTAGTAGTAGTAGTAATAGTAGGGTTAGCTGCTGGAGGAGGAGGAGAAAGAGGAGTGAATAAGGTTTTCAAAGCCATTTCAACAAAACAACAACAGAATTCAAAACTTGGCCACACACAATCAAAAACACTCTGCAGAAATTAATAATAATTGAAGCGCAAATGTGTGTGCAAAATGTTGTGTTGATGTTGTAGAAGAAGCTACAGAGAGCGAGAAAATGTGGACCTGTGCAGTTTCATACAAAGGAGACAGGCAGAAAGAAAGGAAAAAAGAAAAAAAAAACAAAAAAACAACAGGTTTTTTGGGACCAGCATAAAGAACAAAGATTTTAAGGTACACAAGAAAGTGTGTGTGTGTGTGTGGGGGGGTCATGCTTATCTAGCAAACATCAAAACTGTCAAACTTTTTCAAGGCTCAAAACAAGAGGTCAACAAAAAAAAAAAAAAAAAGGTAAATAGAAGTAAAAAAAAATGTTTGCACATTTTCCTGTCATTTTTAAAGAGAGATAATATTAGAATCATAAAAATCTGTGGTTTGAAGAGAGGGGGAAGGAACAGCTTCCAAAAAATAAAATAATTAAATAAAAAAAAAAAAAAATGGAAAAACAGACTGGAAATGTTTTAAAAGTTAAGAGAGACTATGCTCTATGCTGTTTTCTAAGAAAAAAGAATTTTTCAAGTCTTTTATAAAAGAAAAAATTTCAAAACTAAACTGGGGTTTCTTCAACTGGACGGGGTCTCCCACTATGAGCATGCAAAGGTAGTTGACATTTTACTAACATGAAAAAAAAAAAAAATTATAATTAAGATTTATCAAGAGAAAGAAAAACAGAAAAAAAAAAGTCAGCATTTGGCCCCAATGAAGAACCAAACAACTATTCATCACTTTGACAAGTTTATTCAGAACCCGTGGTATTGTTGGGGTTTGACATAGAATCTCTTGAAGTTCTAAGATGTGTGACAAGCACTCCTTTGGAGAAAAAAAAAAAAAAAAAAAAGCCTAAAAGAGTTTTTAAAACTCATTTCAAATGATTGAAGTGAAATCAAAGAGGAATAAATCTTTAAAACTACATTAAATAAATTTAAATATAAAAATTCTTTTTTTAATTTAAAATATAAACATTAGTAATTTAGATGTTAAAAAGAAAGAAAAAAAAAAAGAAATTCATCCTACTTTCATTTAATTTTTATGAATTTTACAAGTTAATAAAATGAGAGAAATACTTGCTTCAGTCTTCAGTTTATTCAACATCCCAAGTTTCAACTTTTAACTGATTTTTTTCAATACATTTTTTACCCTAACTTCATGATTCAAAGCAGTTGATTTAAATTACATTTGACTAAATGTGATTCCACTTGACTGAAACAAATGGATTTTCTACCTTTTAATATTTGTTCAAATTTGATTGGCGAAAAATTAACGATTCGATTTTCTTTCAATTCGCTTTCAAAAAAATACGAAGATTGACTAAAAATGCGAATCTACAGGAATCGTTTTAACTTCCTTAAAATCAAATTTATTTAAATGCCAAATAGAGGTGAAAGTTATTAATTTTCACAGCTTGAGCCTTGCAAAGAACTGCTCCTCCCCAAAAATATTGCCATTTGTTTTTTTTTTTAATTTTCTTTTTTTAAAGTGCAAGCCACCCTTTCCCCACCACACTATGGCTGAAAGGAGCAAATCCAAAGCTCGTTAAATTTTTAACGAGTTTATAGTTTTAAATTCGCATGTCATTTAATAGTACAAAGAAATTAATTAATACATTAATTTTATTTTTTAAAATTTGAAACACAAATGTAAAAACAATACTGGAACATCTGATTGCACATATGTAGTATAAATGTTTAACTTGATATTTCATCCAGATGAAAATTAAATTGAATTTTTTATATTGAGAAAGTTGTTTTAAAAGTTTCTGTTATTTTGGGAATTTCAACTAGAAACTGTTTTTGGTAACTTAATATTTTTCATTTGATTTCCTGAATGGCTTTTAATCTACAGTGATTGCAACAAAATGCAGAGCTTGAATTTCTATTAGGAAATTGAACATAACTAATTTTCTTTTTAAATAAGGAAAAAGTTAAATATGAACATTTAAATAGAAAAAGTGTCACAGCTCTTTTGAAGAAATCCAGTTACATATGAAAAGAAAGAGAAAAAAACAAATCTTGAGTAAAAAGGAAAAGAAAATGAAAAATTAACGACTCATTTCTGAAAAATAAAATTATTTCAGAGATTTTTGAAAACATTTCTTTGCATTTTGGTAAAATAGAATTTTAAAAGAGGAAATGCAAAAGGAGTTTGTTTATCTAAATTCTGTACTTAACCAGTTTTTGAGTTCAAAATGTTTCAGTTATTTATTTTCTAAATCATACCAGCTTAAGTTCACAAACTCTTCATAATTGCTTTATAAATATTGAGATTTTTAAAAAATTGGAACCTTTAATAAAAACAAAAGAAAACAAAAAACAGCACATCAAAATTAAGGCTTCAGATTTTAATTGTTCAAAAACATTTAAATGTGAGCTAAGATAGTTGTCAGATGAATCATATTTATAAAAATAACTGATTAGAAATTATAATAAGTTCATCTTCAAATCACAATAAGAAAAGAATAATAGGAAGAAAGAGGCAATGATTCTGTATATGAAAAATACTAAAGGGGGAGATTCTTATAGGATACAGAAAATATATATAGCATCAGAAAATTCTAACTTCAGACTGACAGGTTCAGTTTAGAACAGAATATGAATCTTGGTTATGTAAAAACAAATAGGAGCATGTAACAAGATTATAGAAAAAATGAAAAATGTCTCAATTTACAATTAAATGTCCTTAGATTCAGGAAAATAAAAATTTATTTTCATCTAAAATAGCAAAATAAAGATAATATATAAAAGAGATATTTTAATCTTTAAAGGTTTGCGAGGACAACAATGACAATATCTTGCAATTTTTTCCCCTTAAATTCACCAAATCTGAGAAATCTGTTAACATTTGCATTATTCAAGAGTTTTTGCGATAAACCTATCAAAAATAGAATGAATATTTGTCTTTAAGAAGTAATATGGCTTTTCTAGATAATGATGAACGAAACTTTAAAGTGGAGTCGGTGTCAAGAGGTGATGTAAAGAGAAATACAAAATAAATAGATAATCCACGAACCTCTCCTTCCTCCTCTCTTTTTCATCTATATATAAAAAAGCTTGAGCAGAATGCCCTTGCTTGTTGAATAAAAATATAAACAAAACACCAAAAGAATCTCTACAACAAATAAAATAATCACCTTACAAAAGAAAAACCAAAAATTGAAAAAGTTAAAATTTTGAGAAGAAAAAGCAAACCATTTGTGTTTTCATTGTGTAGGGAATGCACAGAATGATAAAAGAATTATGACATGAAAGAGAAAAATAGGAAAAGCAATTAAAACTGGCAGTAACGGTCCCAACAATAAAGCAGACAAGAAAAGACAAAGCAGATTATTTTAGTAGGTAGATGAGCTTGGTTGAAGGTAAAGTTATATCAGAGGAGAAAGCAGAAAGGGATATATGCAACAAGTTATACAAAGATCTTGTCAAATAAACTCAAGATATCGTTGGAGGAAAGCCACACTTACAGACCAAAGAAAAAAAATTGCATGCCCCTAAATAAAATAAAATAAAATTAAAAAAAAAAAAAAAAAATAGAAAAATAATTCCAAATCCAATTCAAAATGGGCTTTTTTTTCTTTTTTTTTTTTCCAATTATGAGGAATGAAGAAAAGAGACAAAAATAGATTAAAGATAAAATTATAATAAATGTTCTTATTTAAAAAAAAAAAGTTTTGGAGTAGAGGAGAAAAAGCAGGTACAGTAGAAGTCAGAAAAAAAGAAAGTTATCTCCCATTAAAAATCTTTGCACACTAATGCATTTTGGGGAGGTACTCTGTGATTGATTCTTTTAGGGCTGCAAAACAGTCAAGACTAGAGAGTAACAAGTAAGGGAGGTAAGCCATCTATAAAGTGATTTTCAAGGCAATGTTAATGACTGTATTATAAAGCAATCTCTTTTGCATGATTTTTTTTTCTTTTTTTGTTGCTAATGGCAACTGGACACTGAAGGAATCTTTGTAGCTAGAGCATCAGAATGGAAGGAAGGATAGTAGGAAGGAAGAAGATGATGTGGCCACAGGTTTATCAAGTTGTTTAAATCCTGATTAGCTACCTGCAGTGAGCATGAAAGACCATCTGGAAAAGGTCCAACCAGTAAGCTTTGTGTAGTAGTAGTAGTAGTAGTAGTAATAAAAGACTGGTAGAAGTAGTAATAATAGCAGCAGCAGCTGTTATTGAAGATGATGTTGATGGTGCTGGAGGTCTCTTGACCAAGCATGTCCAGCATTTGAGACTCAACTACCTAAGAGTGTGGATTACAACCATCTGTCCATCCTTATGCTGATCATATAGCACTGGCATCACATAGACAGGTGGGAAAATGTTTGCAAATTAATATAAGTCGAGCCTTCGCTTCAAATCGTTACGTTTCCACTCTGCAAGTCGGTGGAAGTCTTCTTGCTCCATCTTAAACAGATCGTTAAAGTCTACTTTGGAGAGATGAATCTACAAAATCAAAGAGAAAGAATTTGTCAAAAATTCAAAACAAGCAACAAATAAAAAGAGTGTTTAAGTAACAAAATTTTAAAAAAATAGTTAAAAATTGGGCAAAAGAAAATTCTTACAAGTGGTAAGAAATTTGGTTATTCAAAAGAATTTATTGCATCCAAATATTTTTTTTTTTTCAAAGAATTCAGCAATAATAAATATTATCAAATGCAATACACATGTGAATATAAACTAACAGATATACTGGGATAAATACAAAAAGAGATACTGGTCAAAATAATTTGTAGAATAATGAAAATATTTAATCCTCAAAACTCGAGACGAAATTTAGAGAAAAATCTTTCCTACTATTATACCTTCATTCCATTGTTTTTATAATATGGGTACAATGTTTTTTTTAATGGTATTTTGAAGTACTTTTGAGTATATTTTCTATGATACACTATTTTGCCTACAGTCTTGTAAATGGTTTTCCAAAATTAAATTCTCATAGTAAATCTTTACTAATTTTAATTTTGGGGTTTGTTCCTGTGTTTCAACTTGCAATTGTGAAAGTTTAAAAAAAGAATAAAAAAATTATTTACAAAGAGAAAAATATTTGGAAATGATGAACTATGAACAAATGTTGACTTAACTTGAATCCATGGATTTGACTCAGATTGAAAAATTTAAAACCAATCTAGTCATCATTCTATCGCGATTGTTTTAGGCAAATTCTGCCATAAGTTTTGTGTTCAAACAATGTAACTTTCAAAAGTAATCTAGTCCTAATCTTAACATATCTACAGAACACCAATATCAAAAATAATTCTAAGCATGATTGTAAATAACCTAGAAATGTATGTTTGAGAATATTTGTAAAAATTGTTTCAAGTCTTCATGGGGCTCAATGAATTGAACTTACATGAGAAAATCCTTTGTATTAAAGAAATTTTTACTGAAGTTTTAAGGTGGGGGGAATCAAGAGATAATCCATTTTAAAAATTCACTTAGACCAAGAAAAGAAATGAAAATCAAACTGAAATATTTTTTCACTTTTTGCTCTTTTAGTTTCAATGTTCCTCTTTTTTTTTAGTTTTATTAGGATTCAAGAAACTAAGAATACTAACCTCCAGACAGTTTCTGTCCACATCTTTTGGTAAGTCAAAGTTGGTTATTTTCAGACGTTCATAAGGATAAACCTATAATAAGAAAATTGAAATAAATTCATTAATCTTTACTTAGATGCTAAAAAGCTTCTCTGTAGATGCTGATAAATAAGAGATTGGTACTTACAGGTGGTTCAGCCTCGGTGTGCCAAGTGTTGCGCTGGAAAGTCATTAGAGACACAGAGGGACCATCATAGACACCAGGTTCACCCGCTCGAGAATAAGATGATCGCTGAAGATGAAACAAATATAAATCATACTTTCAAAAAGAAAAAATATATTTTCATCCAGCTCTTAAGGTTGAACACAAAGACTAAAAAGAAAATTTAAATTTTGAAATTGTAAAGGTTGTTATTTACAGGGTGCGATGGATAAATTGTCGCCTAAATTATGGCAGAAGAAGAAGAAGAAGTTATTTTAACAGATATATTTACCAAAATTACACAAAAATATCTTGAAGTACTAAAGAGTAAATTTATTCAATAAAATTGCTATTGACTTCAACCAAACAACTTTGGAATCTCCTGGAACTCTTCTGGACAGTCTCCTTGTTTAAGTTAATGAATGCTGCCATAATCCTTGCCTTCAGTTCATTATTGGTGTTACAAGGAGTTTTGTTGATTTCTCGTTCAACTGTGCCCCACACATAATAATCAAGGGGATTGCAGTAGGAGAGTTAGGTAGCCAGATGTAAGGGGTGATGTGGTCACAGAAATTGTCTAACAGTCATGACTGAGTTCTCCTGCTTGTGTGGCATGGTGCAGTGTCCTGTTACTAGATATAGGGTCTTCCAGTATCCACCCTCTTGACCCAGGGCAGCATTACCTACTCAAGTCACTTGTTGAGTCTGAGGCCCTGTAGGAAGATGAATGGAGGCATAATGTCGCCATCACTAGTGATCACTCCAAACATCTTTGTAATCACCATTAGACTGATCCAACTCTTTCCAAATCCTCTGCACTGTCCTCAGATTGACATCCAAACACTTTGAAATATTTGTATTGGTGTTTCCAGAATGAATGCCAAGCAATACAGTATGCTATTTCCAAATTTCTGGTAGAGTGAATTCGTGCACAGACGGTGCAGTTGACAAATTCAAAAACAATGTACATGTGCAAAATTTAAAATATAAAATGGCGACAATTTACCCATCGCATCCTTAATATTCAGACTGATTTACTTACATTTGCTTTTGTTAAAAAATAATTAGAATTAGCAAAATTTCAAGTTCTTTATAAGCATATTAAGTCATAACAGTTCAATTTAACTAAGATAAAATTACCTCAAACATACATCCATTCAAATTAAAGTTGAATTACCAAGAAACAAAATTGTGTGCAACATTTTTGTGCACAATGTTTTTATTTAAGAAAATTAATTGACTCACATGAAAGAGTTAAGCAATAAGATTTATTGCTGGCTATTAAAACTATCAAATTGGAGTAGAAATTTAAAAGGTTGGGTCTTGAAATAGTAACATTGTTTTTTTAGTGTTTTCTAAAAAGCGATTAATGAGAAATTAAAATTCCTTTAACATTTTACAAATGTGGCATAATGAGAAAAACTATCTGCTTATAAAATATTTATTAAGATCAGATAGAAACAACTGCTAAATCAGGAGATAAAAATTACCCTGATAGAAAAACAACGACAATTTTGGTAATTTTTTATATTAAGTATTAGTTATAATTTAGCAATTTCTACAACTGCATGTCCTTTTTTTTAACCAATATCAAACGATGAATATTAAGATTAGAGAAACAAATAAATTATGAAGGAGTTATAAGTTGTAACTGTAATGCCACCAAGATGGAAGGCCTGTTTGATGGGTGGGGCTTATGTGTTGACGTCACTATGTAGCATAAACTTGGAGAAATATTTTTGTTTGCTTTTATTGTTTGAGTTTTCTTGAATTGGCTTGATTTTTTATTTGTTTTGTAAATATTTTCACTGAAATAATTTACAAAGAAAATGATTGTGCAGTCTCAAAATGCAAAGGAAATTATAAAAATGTTCGAAAGTGTATGTATTTTCATTTTCAAAAGAAAAGGATTTATCAGATGTATCGATACGTGCTATCAAAAGGGAAAATTTTGTACCAAACAAAAATAGTAAAGTAAGTAATTTCTTTTATATTATTTTCTTTTATTAATTTTGTAAAAAGCATTAAAACTTAATGATTAAATTAATTTCATGATTTTATAATTCATTATACATTGAAACAAAGTAATTCAATAAATTTTTTAACTGTGGAAGCCCACAGTTAAAAAATTTACTGAATTCTGTGGATGAAATTATTAAACTCACCACTTAATAAAATTTTTGATACAAATATTTAAAGGAAGTTTTTATAATAATTTCTAATAAACTTTTAAAAACAAACATTTGAATTTTTTTTTTTTGTAAAAAAATATTTCCATAAAAAAGTCCACAAATACGCAGATGTAAACTTAAAATTTACTTAAATTTACATATGATTTTACATATGTGTTTAGGATTTCTAAATGGTTTTGAATTTTAGAACACCTACAAAACTCATTGTTTTATCAATTTAATGAAATTTTCAATAAAAATATGAACAGTATAGTTTTTTTTTACAATCTTAGATTTTGACAAGCATTTTAAAGTAGGATGTAATATTAATTCATTTTTTTTTTTTTTTTTTTTTAGGTATGTGAACTGCATTTTCATCCTGAGGACATAAGGCAAGAAACATCAGCATTCCATAAGAAAACTGGTATTACAACTAGCCTTAAAAAAGCAATTCTTCATGTAGGTGCAATCCCTAGAATTTAACCAAACTCACTAATATTTATCTTCACTAACCCCCTCTAGAGAGTCATCAGTACAGAAAAATTCAACTGGAGAATTCTGCTCTTAAAAGAGCTTTGGATTAAAGTATTGTTGATGACTTGGAATACAAACAGCAGAGGAAATTCCACAGCATTGATGATATTGATGGAAAATTAAATTTTCTTGATAGAAATTACTGGAGGCAGGAAGAGACTCTTCTTCTTATATATTGCATCATCAAGTCTTCATGTCCCCAAATCAGTCAATCTGTTATAATTGAACCTGATTTTGCAGTACATGTGTTCTGTGGTAATGTGGAAATGAATACTATAGTTGAGTATCAGATTCCTGAGCATGTAAGTGATACAAATACTTTGGAAATTATTATTGAAAATATGAAAAAAATGGACATAGAAGAATGTCAAACCAAACCTCAGTGTGATTGCTGGATTACATTTGGTAATGTCCTTTCTGTTATTAGTGCAAGATGAGTCATTTAGATATTTCTATGCAGTTAAATTTATATATAAGCAGCTAAAATTAATGACACAGTGTAGGTTTGATTATTCAGGAGAAATGATGATTTTTTCCTTCATTGTCGTATAACTGCTCCCCTATAGGATGTTAAGAAACACCAAAATTATAATTTTACCTAGTTATTCAGCCATCAGAAGACTAACCTTATTAACATATATGAATCCTATAGTTGAGCAACATAATTTTCTTATGTATATTAAAAATAAATTTAAGTAACTAGAGTAAGAAGACATTACAGTATCTTTACTTGTAGATGAAATTCATCTAAAATCTTATTTTGATTATAAAGGTGGTAATGTTGTTGGCTTAGCTGACAACAGCAATAAGTGTTTTTGCTTTTATGCTCAGCAGTGTAGTCTCATGATACAAGGGTGGTGTTGTGCATATTATGTCAACTAGATGTATTAAAGCTGAGAATTTATTTGCCATAGTTAAACGTGTAATAATTGGTTTAAAAGAGAGACTTTAGAGTAATATTAGTCATAACAGATAATAATCCAATAAATAAGAAAGCTATATCTTTCTTTTGTAGTCCTGCAAAACTTTCAATTGAATTTCCACATCCAGTTATGAAATCTAGACCACTTTTCTACATATTCGATTCAGTTCAAGGAATAAACTAAAATGCATTAGAAACAACTGGTTTGGTGAAAAAGATGCAAGTAAATGCATGATGTTCCCAAAATTTTGTCATAATGGAAATCATGATTTAAATAATATCCAAAGTGCCCCATTTTGTACTTTACAGAAGCTTCATGTTCTGGAATCTCAGTCATTTCTGAAATATTGATATAAATTGACCTCAAAGGCTCTTTCTTCCCACTAGTTTGGAAAGGCAAAATGTTTCATTAGTTTTGAAAATTTTTAACCCAGTCACTATTTAGAGATTGATGCCCTTAGGGAAACAGAAATGTTTGCCTAACTTTTCAGAATACATACATAACCTATTTTATTCTTGGTAGAAAATACTGACTGTAAAAACACTGTATAAAGACTGGCAGCTTAACAATAAATATATTAATCCACTTAAAGTAAATGATGACAATTATTTCGCAGTGTATTCTGCAACTGGTTAGAATCTTGGAATAGTATTCCTAGAAATAATGGGAAGCTAACAAATCAGCTTTGTATCATACTACTCATGCAATTCTAGAACTAACCAAATATTGCACAGAATTGAAAATGATGTATGTATTAGCTGATAATTTTTAAACAGAACACTTTGAGGATAGATTTGGCAGGTACCGGCAACTTGGTGGCGATCAATATCTCTCTATATGTCAAGTGTTTGAGTGTGTGTGGGGGGAAAAAAAACCAAAAAAAAACAAAAAAAAAAACACCCAGAATGATGTCAGTTTTAAAATTGAGCCTGCCACTTAATAACTAAAGTATTGATTTAAAAAATTTACAAACTAACTGGGATAAAGTAACAGGTGAGCAAAATTTAGATATTTATAAATTTAATATAGATTTAACAGATGAGGATGTTAATGAATGCAGAGAGGTTGCTCCTGTTATATTAATGTAGCAGGCTATTGCTGTTATGCAGTTTTTAAGAAAATGAAATGCAACAGTTGCAAGAATTTAATATCTGGAAGTGATAATGAAGACAAAATACCTGAAATAAACAGCTGTTTTCAGGGGATTAATAGAGGTTCTCTGCTATATCCTCATGATACTACTACAAATGTTGTTATCTATAATTATATAGTTATTGGTAAATTGACAAAAAGTTCTGCTTTTCTTCATTCATTAAATCAAATGCAATTAGCCATGCATTTAACTTTCTGTTTTGGCAGATAATTCATGTGGATTCTCATAATGTGGCTCACAGTAATGAAAAATTAGAAAGAATGCTTGCTTGTCTGGAGCTCTTCAAATGTTCTTTTTAATAATTTTTGTGCTAGGGAAAATAATAATAATATTACTAGAAACAAGTTAACCAAAAAAAGAAAACTTCAAACCTTCAGCTAAATTTCCCATCTGTAACATTTTTTCTACAATTATTTAAAATTTGTCTTATTTTCTACACAACCAAAAATGTCAATATTGTAACTTTACTACTATAGAATAATTAAAATAAAACATGCAAATTAAAACTGTCAATTTTTTATTATAAAGAAAATAGTTTACAAATAATTTTGTACAATGAAAATAAGGAGAATGAATTTTACGGTCTTTAAATTCAATAATGAAAATGTACACTATTTACTTTAAGCAGCAAAAGTAAAACTTTAAATAATTTTCCTTTAGAAAATAAAGTTTATTCTAAGGTAAAAATCGAAGATTGGTTTCTTTCTTTTCTAATGTAATTGTAATATAAAAAATATTCTATGTCAATATAATATAGTAACTTTATGGAATAATCATTAAAATAAAAATGGATTTTTAATCTATTTATTGTTTGTTTGATCTTTCTTTCTTTAAAGATGTAAGGTAGAAATCAAACCCTGGTTTGCTTTTCTTTTAGGGAATAAAACGTCTTTATAATAATATTGTTTATTTATTTATTTATATAAATTAATATTGAATAAAGTCCTGAGATGAAATTCGGACCTTGTATTTTTTTTTTTTAAATTGCAATTTAAAAAGTATACTATATTTAAAAAAAAAAAGCCTAAAACCATTCATTTTCAACAGCTTCACTTCAGCTTATACTACTTATGTTGACATCACGTTTATCGAACAGGCCTATCTCGGTGGTGTTGATAACTGTCAATGAGTTACCTACCTTTGATTTTCTTTCCGTACTAGTTGTTGAATCTGAAAAGGGGAAAAAAATAACAGTAAAAGATAGTTAATAATATCTCAGGTTGAGAGTAACAAGTCATTCATGAGAATGTTGTGCGTGTTGGAGGGGGGGGACATATCTTCAATGCTAGAGTCTCCAAGTGGTTTTATTTCAATTACACAATACACAGAACACTCATTTCTATCTGGAGAAGTATACAATTAATTTCTACACTTGTATAAATTTCTGTAAAAAAGAAAAAAGAAAACTGAGATGGGCACACTTTTTGTAGTTTACATTGTGTTTAAGCAATTGTCAAATCTGTTTACAATAATCATCATCATCATGTTGTGCTAAGTCCACCTACAACAGGCTGAAAACCCACATGACTTATCTTTTTAAGAATTTCAGTTCTTGTGAGTATTTTTAGACTGATACATCTCCACAAGTGTCCAGGCTGTTGATGAACAGGTGCTTTTATTGAGGCATCATCTCCATATGTATTGCCAGCCAAAATTAAATAAGGACATGTGATGATGCATTGCAATCATTAACAGTTTCTGAACAGTTTCTACCCAATTTCACTCAAAGCTTGGGTCAATGTGTAGTATAGTTTTCAAGGACTTCCCAACAGTGTTGCATGCTTGGACTGTCATCACCCTTGGCTGATATTATCAAGAAGTCACCTCCTTAAATAACGGACTATGGGGAGATTTGAATTTGGACCTTGTGGTTAGAACACTAATGTACGTTTTTTGTGGTGGGCAATGAAAATAGCCAACAAGCATTTGCTGGAATACCTCTGTCACTCATGCAAATAGTTTTGCTATACTTAAGCCGAGCACAAGACAGTTCCTCAGCTTGTCAACTTTCTGGAGTGGAAATCTTGCTCACAGTATGATTTGCATTAGTTCAAAGTTCCTGTTCCAAATTTGCAATAGTGAGGTATTTTGTTGCAACCATAAATTTGTGACGGTTTGCAGCTCATGTTTGTGGTGGTTCGCACAAACCTTTCAAAAAAGGTTATTTCAGTGCTTGTCCCAATGGCAGAAAAATTTGATCTCAATCTCCTATTGTATGGATCCAAATTATTCCGTTGTTCAATGGATTGAAAATGTGGAGTTGGTATGACATTAGTATACCACTCTCAGTATGCAGGTGGTTGGGAAGTGCAGGGCAAGTGTGATGATGAAAATATAGGATGACCAAACAGATGATACCCCATTCAGTAAGATGTTAACAGAGACTGTAGACAGGGTGAAGCAGAACTACTCTTTCAGAAGTGAATGGTGTGTGAATATCAAAGAGTTCAATATGTGGGTTTATACAAACTCTTTGGTGGGTTAAATTAGGTATCCACCAAAAAAAAGGCATTAAAAAAAGGGTCACCCAAAGTTTTTTTAATTATTTTAAAAAATTTTTCCTTCTTTTTTAGAACATTCTAAATTTTGATTAAAAACCTATTTTCTATTTGTATCAGCGAACTAGAACACAATTTTTACACGTTTTTTTGCAGATTTGTTGAAATAGAAATAATTAATGTTAATGAAACTTTCAGGAACTATTCACAGATGATCGAAATATTAAAATATGTTTTTTTAAATGGTAAAATATTTTTTTAAATTTTTTACCCCCATAACTAAAAAAAACCAAATTGATCCTTTTTAGTGATTACAATAATTAAAAGCACAGGGCTTTGAGGAATGCAAATCATGTTTTTTTTTTTTTTAATTGGATACGCTCCTGAAAATAATATTCTAACTCAATAAAACAAAGATATTATTAAATTTCAAATGCTTTTATTTGCAAGGCAATATTTTCTGAAAACAAAAAAATTTTTTCGAAAAATGAATTTTAATACAATTATTTGTTATTTCATTAATTATAATAAATTTAACATTTAAGTTGTTAAAATATTATAAAATTAGTTAAAAGCATGTTTCATAAGTGTCCTTATGAGATAGATCTTTTTTAGTGCGTTGTAAATTGTATCATTTTGACTAATCAGAAGAACCCCAGTAATTATATAATTTTGTGCTTTTAATCGAGCTGTAATTATAAAATCTGTGAATATAATTAAGCTACGTTATTTGAGTTATTGTTCTCCGCTGTTAAGGCCTTTAGTCAAACAAGTGTGGAGAAGAATTTGATTTTTTCAATTTCAACTGAAAAAGGGTACCTAATCAGTATCATCTTATGAAATTTATATGATCTTATTTTTATATTAATCTCAGCAAAATTAATAATAAAATGAATGCAAATACAAATAACAGTAGAATGTAATAAATGTACATAAAATTATAGTATTTTATGTACAATTCTGATAAAATTTCATAAGGTACCTATAAATTAATTAGATACCTTTCTTAGAAATGAAATTTAATGTCACTCTTAACAGTTTTATTTTACAAATATATTTCCCATAAAGCATCATAAACGTAAAGGTGAAAGCTAAGTACAAAAAAAAAAAAAAAAAAAATTAGACCGCTGAAAGTTTTTCAAAAATAGCAGGGTAAATAATTTGTTCACATAAATGTAAATTATTTCACTTTTCCCCTTCCGTGAGAACAAATTAGCCTCATGGAATTCGTAAATATATCATTCATCACATGTCAAGAGACAAAATTACATCTTTTTTGGCACAAAAGCTAAGTTAAGTTTGGTTCAAAATATTTTAAATAAACATTATAATTTTCTTAAAATAAGTTTTGAAAAAATGATAATTGATATTTAAAAAAATTTCAAAGTCAGATTTCCAGTTTTTTTTAAAATGGAAAAAAATGGGCATTTTGCTGACTCAAAAAAAAACTAGATTTTTAACGAAAATTTTGGACGTGCTAGGATTAAAAAATGGAAAAAAATACCCCAAAAATACTTTGACCTTTCCTCTTAATAATAACAAACATTTAGAATAAAATTTTGTTTTTTTTCGTCAAGTTTGGTTTTTCATCATGCTATGCTCTTTTTTTAGCGATCTCGTGGAGGTACCTAAGTTAAATGGGTCACCCATTAAATATGCATGTTGACTATCTCCTGAATTGAACACACAGCAGAGTTGAACACTACAATGAAGAGAGTAAATTATACAATGAAAGGTAAAGATTTTTCACTTAAAAACCAGCTCCTTATGTGATTATTGCTGACTCACTAATATTCTAACTGGCAAGGCAAGAAACAATACCAAATCTGTGTGTGAGATGTTAAGGAGAAGGCTGGATATCTTTTCGGAGTTAGTGAAAAGTGTATTGTTTGTTACATTAGTCAAGTTGAGCCAAAACAATGCAGACAGAATAGCTAGAATTCCACAGAGGTGGCTTGACACAATGAAGAATGAAGTCAAACACTTACTGCAGGTTTGTGTCACAACCAAAGATAAAATTGAGACCAAAGGAATACTGGGAATACACATGCATAGTGGGCATCCAGAGGTTAAATGGACCACTTAAAAGTAGGACCAAATTCATCAGAAAATTTGTAAAATTGTATGGGGTCCCAATGTTGCCCATGTCAGCCATGTGCTGCAAACTTGGGATGGACATAACTGGAGCATAGCAAAGAAAAACAACCACAATTAGCATTTGCTTATTGTGGTGGGTGGCAAAAATAGCCAACAAGTATTTGGTGGCATCCCTTTGTTGCCCATGCAAATGACTTTGCTATATTTCAAGCTCAGTTTGCTTGTGGGAACTCTGGAGTGCCAAGTGCACTCAGAGTACAATTCACACTATTTTGAAGTTTGTGTATGAAATTCACCATAGACAGGTGTTTTTTTCAACCATGATGGTTTGAGGCTCATGTCTTTGCGCAAACTTTTAAAAACAGTGTTCTAACTGCTCAGCCATATGGCCATTTGCAACAACAACAACAACAATAGTAATAAAAAAATTCCTAAACATCTGACAACTAAAGAAAATAATCCACAAGTAAAATGAGGCTGTTCTACTTGAAGATTTTAAAAATCAGTTTAACCAAAAGTACTTTGTCCTATTCAAATGCAAAACAACCTATAAGATTAATAATTTTTTTTAACAAAAGTTGAGAAATAAAAATATGGGAAAGAGAATTGTAATTGTCTTCATATCTTCACATCTAGATGAAGATTCAGGCAGAAATAATTTTTTTTTCAAATTAAAATGTTGGAGAAAGAAAGTAAATTCAATTAATAATGAAAACATAAAAAAAAATTTAGCAAAAAATATTTACAAGAGAGAAGGAAAGAAGATAGGTAAGAGTTGCACTTACCACTGATTTTTCTATCAATTGACTGCTCAGTGTGATCTGTGTGTTTGGCATCTGATGAGGATGGAGACGTTGAAGATTCATCCATATCAAAATACCTCTGGAAAACAAAAATAAATCATTAGCTGAATATAATTAAGTGTAAATTTCTCAGCAGGATAAAATGAAAGATAAATTTAAACTTAATGATTATGGATGGAAAATAAATATAATTTGTAATTCTTACTTTTCCAGCAACATTAACGAAAGAACAAAATATTTGGATCTAAAATTTTAACTGTATAATGTTTGATTACAAAGGAACTCTGAAAAACTCTTGGCTTGACCAACTTCCTAAAATCTAAGACAAATAACCAAAAATCAAATTTATTTTCGCTGGGTGTCTTAGGTTGAGAATTTTTTCATCACTCTCTCATAGGTAATTAATATTGACCCCTGAATTACTGTTGCCTCTTGAATAAATGGGGATGAATACACTTAAAAAATTAAGAGAATCTTTGCACTTTATTAAAATTCCATAGCAGCAAACAATGCATGCCATAAAAATAGATTATTACTAATCTTGATTATGTATTAGTAGTATTTGCGAGTATATATTCAGAAAGAGAATTCACAAGCATAAATGATATGTACAAATTTTAAATTTATAATTTTGCACTCACATTTCTGTCCACTATTCTAGACTCTTCCCAAATTTCATAACAGCAAGAAATGCATGTCATGAAACATATTATAATTTATTATAGTATATAGTTATTATTAGTAGTATAATTTTGTTATTACTTAAGAAATCACAACACATCCCATCCAGCTTTATATGAATTTATGAATACAATTTAATTACTGTATTAATTACTATTTGACAATCCCCACTTTATTAAGTTCTTGGAAATTGAAAGAAATTCCCTCTTATTTGATATACCCCCAGTTTATTAAAGAGGCAAGAGTAAGATTAGGTTGAAAAAGATTTTATTTATTATTATTATTATTATATAAACGTTTTATCATCTACAGGCTACTGTGAAAACTAGTAGTTATCAAATGAATTTAGAAAAATAGTTATATAAACAGAAGGAAGTTTTTATTTGAGTAGCCTTGAATAAGTACAATTATCATTATATATTAATATTATGAAGAATACATTTGAAAGTTTTAATGTGTGGCAAGAAAACCTGTTTTTTGGATATACAAGAAATAGGAAAATTATTATGTAAATTTAATTTGAATTTAATAAGTAAAGTATTAAAGATTTTGACAAGTAAAATTAAAGAAAAACAGTGGTGAGACAAAGTAAACTTACAAAATCTAGTGGTCCTCCATACATTCCTGACAATGGTAATGTAGCAGCTCTTGGTGATATTCCATATGAACCATATCCAGGTTTAGGAACTGTTTGGGCATAGTCAGGGAGGGGAAAGTAATAAGATATCAAATTACAAAGCACAAAATTTGATAAACAAGAAATGGTATGGTTTAGTGTGAAAAGCTTATCTATTAGCACAACTAACTGGAAATGCAAAGAAGAATTATGTTAAATAAGATTTATGATTACCTAATAGAAAGTGAGCTGAATTCTGATAAAACATGTCAAAGTTATATTTGTAAAATATGCAAGAGAATGAAAGGCAGTGAAAGAAAAATTGAGAAATGTTTAATGATATCTCCTAAAAATATTGAATATTGATGTGTATGCTTCTTGGTTAATTTATATTCATTTTTCACTTTCATCTATGTCCATCAAATGAAATAATTTGTTTATTCATACTTTCCACTCATCTTACCAAAGTATCAAGCTTGTTTGAATCGGAAAACAAGGCCAAATGGAAATGTTCAATACAATAGAGAATATTTAAAAAAAAAAAAAAGTTGGTGGTAGAAAAATATGTCATGTTTTACTAAAAACACAAGAATATAATACTGACAAATATGAGAGCTTTAATAAGTTAGAATATTAAGCATGTTTATATCTTTGAGCCATTAAGGCAAATTTATCCATTAATGCCCACATAATTTATAGTATTAATTATAAATATCAAAATAAAAATCCAGTATTAATTAGAGGTTTCTACCTAAAACCCATTAATGGGTTAATAAGTTGACAAATGATGTCTTATTTATAAACAGTATGGATATCAGGTAAGACATCAAGTTTAAATAAGATTTCTTTTTGTAATATATAGCAACAATAAAACTTTTTAAAAAAGAGGAAACCTAAAATATTTATAATTATTAAATTTTATAAAAATATTTGAAGAGCTAAATAAGTCATCATTCCATAAACTATCCAGTATGCTAGAGGATCATATCATTGTTTTTCAAACAATCTTAAAGAATTAGGAAGGGCGCTTAAAAAGATAATCACATTATAATTAACTCTCTTACATTGATTTTTAAAATGACTAGGTAGAGGATTAACAAAATAATACCTACTTAAAAATGAAAGAAAATATTTTTTAAAAATTAGTTCCTCTGACCAGTGTAGAATGATCATTAAAAAGATGTAGAATACTGTCTGATAAGTTGGTAAATATTTGTTAAAACAGACAATCATATGAATTCAATTTCAAAGCTTAGCTATAAACAAAAAAGCAAACAAGATTAACACCGAGTCTTTTACTATGATGAGTTGAATTTAGTTTTTACTAAGATTTTTTTTTTTTACTAATGTTTGCCCAACAAAAGGCCCATGAGCCACTCAAGGTAGTGAGTCACTGAATGATATTCTAAGAGTGTAAGAAGAGGCAGTAAAAAGTGCAGTTTATGATGTTATGTCAGAGAAATAACAGTTAACTCTAGACTTGAAGAGGTTAAGATTGTAGTGACCTGGAAAAACATCCTGTTGGGAGTCTGTTCCACAAAGCAGCAGTTCTTGAGAAGAAACTATCAGAGTGGAACATCCTCCTTACTAATGTAATACAAAGGGAATGAGAATCATTTGTAAATGCACAAGGCATGTTGGGTCGTAGCTGCAAAGCTCAGGACTGGTGGGACCAAGGAATATCGCTCATCAGAAAATTTGCTTTGGAATTAGCAATAGAGTAGTGAGAGGCTTGTGACGTTTCATCTGTTGGAAGGAAGTTGTAGGGTGGAAAATGATTCATCACTCACAAGGTTGTGTAGATGCTTTTGAATTCTATCCAGACAGGCAAGTAAAGACTAGGAAACTATGGTATCAATACTTGATCTGATCTGGCTCTTGCAAAGATAGAGCATAGCAAGAGGAATCAGATCATTTCTGGATTGATACAAGGAACCAACCATTTTCCCAGTATCTTTAGCAAAGGATCATATATAAAAGTTCTACAATATCTGGGATGGGCTTGAGCCACAATAGAAATTTAAGGCAAGGCGTCTCCTTGAGAAAGCACCCATCTTGAGAAAGCAATCCATCATGATAGGTGAAAGTTCAGGCTCTTCTTGGTGATGGTGGAACATCATTAGTTTGGTCTAGTAAGATGGCTAAAGGCTACAACTGCTTCATAAGAAATGCTATAGATCAACAGATTAATTTTAAAACAAAATGGATAAAGGCCAGAGACAAAAGTATGACATGTTTTCCTGGATTAATTATTCTGATAAAATATTCTTTAAGATTTTAATGTGAAAAGCATACATGTAGAAAAAAATTAATATAAAATGAAAACATGTCACAATTATGGTGTTGCTGTTGATTTAATATAAAACTATATAGAACCTGTTTATGACATGTTACTGTACAATAGAGAATACTTAGGAATGATGAGTGTTCAATTTGAATAAACAAATCTTTTTGTTCGATCAGTTATTTACTCCTAAATAAGCAGGGATTTATCTAATGTATTGGCAAAAACGACTGGTTGGTGCTTTGAATCTTACCAACAAGTATTGAAAAATAATTTTTTTTTCATATTCATTATGTACTGAAGGGGTTTTGTTGATATAGAAAAAAAAAAATCATGTAAGCCAAAATGAAAGTAAACAAAAAAAAATTTAAACTGACATATTCAAAGAGTATTGGAAAAAGAATAGTTTTCTGGCTATGATTGTGTTCATAGGCAAACAGACCTATACCAAATAGTGCAAAAATGAAAAATAAAAAGAGATCAAAAGAATTGATTGATGAATTTTGGCTTGCATATTGAAAATATGTTTTACACTGAAATGCTAAAACACATTTACACTAACATCAAATATTGACCATGTAATTGCTATATCAATCCCCCCCCAATATTATTTCTATATCTGTTTGTTTTATATTTCTCATTCAGAATATAATAATTTTTACAATTTTTTTTTTTCTTATTGATGTCTTATTTATACACTTACCTGAAAGTGAATTTTATAATAAAGCCTTTTCAGCCAGTAGTGCTCTTTGCTCATTTTTAAACAAATCATATTTTCAAAGTGTAAGCATCTTGTCTAATACAAAACATTTCATCTGATGTGGAGGATTAAATACAAAGAAACAGTTTACAGTTCAAACCATTTCCTTGTCAGTCGCATTTTAGATGATTTTATCAACTTTACAGTTTTAGAATTCATTCATGAAAGTGACCACAAATATTTTAAAATATGTGACTGTAATGTATGTGTATATGACAGATGCTTATGTAGAGTGAGTTTCTTGAAAAATGGTTAGTTGAATACACACATCAACAGCTCATGCACACTCCAAACATGCCCTTTTTTTAGTTTATAGAAGGAAGATCCAAGAGATAGATTAAAAAAAATGTAGGAAAAGGCTGCATGAGACTAGATTATCAGTGAAGCAGCTCTTAGACTGGACATGTTATTCTACAGACAATGCCTTGAGGCTGTTCTACTGCTATGATTATGCATTAAACAAATCTGTAATACATCTATGAATTTACTTACAGCCAGTGTGTCATTATTAAGAAAAAGTAATTCAGGTTTTAAGTTGAATTGAAAACTTGATGCAACATTCTTAAGCAATTCATTCACTGCAAAACTGAGTGTAATTAGTTTTGGTACAAAGCCACATAAAAGCCCGAGACACTCAGCAAAGATTGAACTTACTATTCAGCAGTAACAATCTGTGAAACCAGCTTGATAACCATTACAACTAAAGTGTCCTAACCTAAGTGTAATCAACAAATATTTATATTTGTAAAAGGGGTTATAAAAAAAAATCAATATGTAGGATACTAAGTTCTTCTTTGAATGATGATGATGATGTGAAAATGATCAAAACTTGGATGTGTAGAGGATGGTTGATATAATTTTACATCACACGAGAGGTGGTATGATGAATGAAATCTATACCATGTGGTGGTGGTGAATGTAATTTGCACCATACATAAAGGTGGTGGTGAATCTAAGTTAGATCATATATATTGTTTGCAAAGTATGAACAATAATAGTAACCATTTAAGGAATACTTTTACATTTTGTTACTTTTCATAAAAAACTTCAAAATGCTAATACAGTGAAACAAACTTAAAAATTTTTTTTAAAGATTTGATCTTAGTACTACAAAACAAAACCAATTAAAATTAAACTTAAATAATCTTTTTAGACAAAAATTTTGTATAGAATTATAGATGCAAAAAGAAAAGAAAAAAGAGGATTGTGTGTGTATATAGTTCCAGATCTGACTTAAAATATTTGGTATAAACAATCTTCATGAGCAATATTGATGAAATAACTTCCAAATCTAAATAGTTATAAATAGTCATTCTAATATAATAGTGAACTAAAATAAATCTCATATTCAATAGTTCATAAATATTTCATTATCATCAATTAAATTAAATAAAAATTAAATTATAATGAAAATCATGATGCAACAAATATTAAATTTATAATTTATATATATATATATATATATATATATATATATATACACAATTACATTTTGTCTTGTACAAATAAAATGTGATAAATTATGTATAAGTTTGCCATAATTATTAGATTCACTTTAAAATTCATCTGATTAATTTTTTATCAAGTGATATTACCAGGGAAGGTAATGGTTTAGTTTTTGATTTTTTTATGGCTTATCAAAGTTATTTAAAGTTAAAACATATTTCTGATGGAAGGAAACTGGAATTTGAGATATTAAATGCTCGCATATTCATACATTAAATGCATCAATAAATGAAAATATTGGAACTTGTTTGAATTCTATTGCTAGTTGAATATAAATGTAATGAAATTATGGATACTATATAGAGAATGATCAGATTACTGGATCACATACAACAGCTTAAACAATAAATTTTGGTTAATGAATCCTGTAAAATAAGAAAGCTAATAAATTTCTGGAAAAAGTAGCATTTAAGAATCAAGTTTAATAATTTTCAAAATTAATAATTGTTCTAATTCCACATACTGACTTTTGAATTTTAATGCAAATCCATAAAATATTTTGTATATCATTATTACTGTTT